CAGAGCGAGCAGTGGTGTTTCGCGGGGCGCAGCAATGCAGCCGCGGAGTAAGTGGCTGCCAAGTGTTTGACTCGTACAGCGCCCCCCGCCCCCAGGAGTGATTTCATCCCAGAGAGGATTTCCTGGCTTTGTGTGTGGTGTGCTAGCTTTGGACATGTTTGCAGAAGAGCCCTGCTCTCCACAACTCCTCGCATACCACTTGCTAAACGCAACAGAAAAATCTCCACCACGAGGGCATGCCAAATAAAAGCAACCAGGCAATTCTCTGTAGTTTTTAACTGGCCTTCCCGATGGACACAGCTTTGGTAACACCAGAAGCTTTGTATTATTAAACCTGGACACTCTTAAGACATATATGTTGATACTGAAATACAGATCTAGATATTGACAGGTCCATTTATCAATCTAGCTATTCCTCAGCAGAGAGATCTATCTGTCTGTCTGTCTATCTATCTGTCTGTCTGTCTGTCTATCCATTGGTTTCCTAACATTTGTACCACAGTATGGTTCCTCAGCAGTTACAGAGTGAAGGGGTACATGGTTACTCCTAATATTGAGCATTTTTAAATAGATTACATCTTTACATATGTAGCAGATAACATGTCCATGGAAACTGAAGGTAGTGACACTTTTACTAGAGACCTCTGATATTTCCTGGTGTTTGTTCCCAAATGGTTCTGTTTAGCAAACCAACAACGGATGGCGTCTTCAAATTAAATGAAAACCCTATATTTTCCCCTTAGCCACTTAAATGCATTGTTAAGAGGAACATGATAAGGGACTGTCTATCCTGTTATCAAGAGTATAAAGACTGCTGGAAGGGACAGGGGCAATGGTTGCACTGGAGGGAGAACATGCTGGGAAACTGGAAGGGTGGTGAGGCATTAGATAGGTAATCTTGACAAAAATGGTTATTTTTATACATGTTGCATTTTAACATGTAGAGGTAAGAATACAAGGTCTGACCCTGCAAGGGTTGATGAGCTCAGTGCGGGTATTGTTCACTCCCAGCAGGCCCAAGCTTCTCTGTGGATGCAGACCACAGGTGCTGACCACTGTTAACGCCAGTAGAAATTGGACTGAGTGGAGGGAGTTCAGCACCATTCAAGGTTAGGACTTTAAATTCCCTTGACTGAAAGCCTCCTGGAGCCATGGCCAACCCTTGGAACCCCTTAAAATCTTACATACACAATACAGGAGCAAGGCTAAGATACTCAAAGGGAGTTAGGCGCCATACTCCTATTTAGGTACCTACATCTCATTAATCAGTGGAAATCAATAGTTAGGCACCTTAATATCCTTGACCTGGGCCTAAATCCTGAGGTCAGTATCAGCAGGACTTGCCCCACAGTTAGCTGCATATTACATATCTTTTCTTATTCCAATTAAAATATTCTGTGCATGTGTGTTTGCTTGTGCGCACGGTGGGGCAGCGAGCTGCTTGCTTAGGACCAGGTTGAGATCACTTCTTCCCTCTATTCTATTGCACTTGCACAAATGTGTATTTTAAAAATGCTGAAATTAATTGCCCATCCCAAGGCAGTGCTGTCCGGAGGTGTTAATTTCTGTGCTTCTAGAAGAAGCAGAAAGTAAAAGAACAGTGTATGAATTCCTGGGGGCAGAGATAGACTTCTTACTGTGTGCATGCCTGGGACTTAGCACAAGGGAGCCTTGATCCCCAATCAGGCCTCGTACCAGTACAGTCATATAAATAAATAATAACATTCTTACAAAAGTGATGTATGACCCTTACACAATAGGATAAGCCTGGAGTTGGATAAGCCTAGAGGCTCAGCTGTTTTATGTTTTAGATTAAATGATCGTACAAATAGATTTGATGGAAACTTCTAGTGCCAAAATGCTTGGTGAAGATTACTTTGTGCAGGTGAATAATAACTTTTCACATGAGCATTGTTCTGTCTCTCTTCGGCCTCATTCCCAAGGTATCTGAGCACCAGCACCCTTATGAAGTAGGGAAGGGCTAGCATCCCCCTTTCAAAGACTGGCTACTGGCAGAGCAAGAGGCTAAGGCCCAGTTCTTGAAAGGTATTTTGGCACCTAATTCCTAGCCTCTCAATTACCTTCCAGGATCTGAGCCTAAGTAACCTGAGTACGTGAGATATTAGTGGCTAAGCAAAGGATTAAACCCAAGCCTCCAAAGTCCTACGTTAACACCCTGACCATTAGACCATCCTGCCTGTTTGTGAAGTTTTTCATTAAACGTTCAATGATCAGATTTTTGTTCCTTATCCCACTGGGAGAAAAAGTGATAATATTGATGCTGGTTTCAATACATCAGTGAAGCATTCCACATATTTATGACATATTTTCCTATGAGTTTATATTTTAGTGCATTGCAATTAATAGAGAAAATAGTAACTTACAATAAAAGAGGCTCAAACTAATGAACAGAAGAAAAGAGGAACCAGAGATAAAGATTCCAGAAAACCATCCTTTTCTTTCCTTATTTTATTGTAGATGTTGTAATTCAATAAATAGCATTTTTGTTTAAACAGTACTTTGAAAACAGGATCCAGTTTGAAAACAAAGTGAATGTTCATTATAAACACAATTTTGACTTAAAACATTAAAGATGCTTTATTGTCAGGAAAAAATAAATTCTTATAATTTGTACTGGACAAATGCTGAGACACTCTAACTGTACAGCTAGATTGTGTGCAAGGCACTGTACAAATATATCACCAAAAAGAGGCTTTGCCTCAACTTGGTAGGGACCACCATCACACTCATTAAACTGCTACTCTACAAAGTGAATACACGTGTACACAGTAATGTACAGTAACACTTAATTTTATGTCATTCCATGGTGTCACTTGATTCACTCTCCTATTCTAAAACTGGTGGCAAGTAAATGACTCATCTGTGATACTGAGTGATGAAAGTCTGCTGTATTGATGTTGCTTTCTTTCCAAATCCAGTATTTAATGTCAGTGTGGCAGAAATATTATATAATTTTGGACGCAATCCTGCACTTTTTTGTAGATTTGCTTGACTGAGGATAGTGGGGTACAGTCAAATATAAAAACAGTGTTCTGATAGTGAACACCTACTGTAGGGGGTTTTTTACATGGAAGGGGTTTTTTTTACACCGAAGGTTTTTTTGTTGTTCTTTTATACAAGTTGGTTTCCTTTTTGTTGCTATTTGCCACAGCATATTGAGGGTAGCATTTCATATCCAGTGTTCACTGACTATTATATCAAAGCTGAAATTCAATACCTGGGGTGAAAATAAGGCTTAGAACTTATTAATTAAACTCAGTAGAATAACACGGCAGCTAGTTGTCTAGAAAAGTCGTGCCTAAAATCAGGGCTATAATGAAGGAAGCCTCCCAGTGTTAACTACAACATTCATTGCCACCAATGCTGTTTGAAGCCTAACTGAAATGCTGTCCGGCCAACATTGCCCATTGAATTTTTCTTTGTGGACAATAAAATATAAAACCAGGAGCTTCACAGTATTTCCTGAATGGGAAAAATGAGTGACTTGCTTAAACACGCAGTTTAGTCATTGTATTTTCCTTTATTATAAATGAACCCTATTGAACACAAGCACTGGACTTTTCAGAGACAAACTCAGGCAACTTTGTGCCAAAGGTACAGATTGGCATGAAGATCCTCGGTGCGTTCCCACGTCCGTTTTTTCTCCCTGGTTTTCCGTTTGCTGCATAAAGTTCTTCTACAATTGTTCCTAGAACTCGATCACGCACGAGGCCTTCGTTTTTTAAAACAGTGCGTTTTACTGCACGACTTAGGCGTCTTAGCAAGGAGTTGAAATATGTGTTGCTAGGAGGCTGATTGCTTTCTTCAAAACAAAGACAAATTTAAAAAACTGCAATATAAGATCATGAATTTGGTTGATATTTGTCTGTATTTTTCTGCAATTTAAGCACAATATTTTGAGCCCAGAATCAAAACTCAGCTGCACTGGAGACAGAAAGGGGAGACAGGAATGTATCTATGGTCTCAGTTTTATAAAACCCAACTTTTATTTTTTAAACATTTTAACCAAGGAAACGTGGCATTAAATTATTACAACTACTTTAAAATTCTGATTAGCACATTTACATTTGAACACATTTAACTTTATAACTACTCTTGCTTTATAATGCTGAACATTTGCAAAAATCACCAAAAGTTATTTGTCCTATATATGTATCCTTTTTTCAATACTGTAGAAGAGCTGCTATCAACAAACAGTCTGCATGAAGCATTTGCTAGGCGCTCTCAGCAAACTACTAAATAATACACCTAACTAACACTTTTTACAATTGGCTTTGCT